AGATTCATGCAGAGAGATCATGCAGTGTTCAATGTGAAGATCCTATACCTGTGGGTTGAGAGTCTTGTGAGGGCAATATATTACTACACCTATACTTCAACAGCCATATTTAGGAGTTCTAACATATATTTGTATATTGTTATCTCTTTTATATGCAGGTACCTGGAGCAGCAGTAGTTTAGTGTTTTCGAGTGTTGTGAGGTTCTAAAAAGTGGGTTGAGTGTTGTGAGCTCATATAATGTGTGTTGTAGCAATGTGCTGGATGTTACTATGGTTAGCCACACAATGTACAGGTTATGCTCATCTTTCTTTTATTTTTGGACAGGGTTTGCTAATGCTTGCACTACATGTTTGAATATCCTGCTGGAACATCCGAAGCTCTTTAAGGTTTTGATGCAAGGTTTGACTAGTATTGGAAAGCATAATATTTTGGTTGAATGGCTGCTATTTCGACTTGGCTGCTGCAATTGGCTAACTGCGATTGGGAAGCCGTGTACAGTAGTTTCTTGTTTGGTTCTAGAGTCTTACAATCGCACAGTTTCGGTTGCTATTGTCATAGTGTGGAGGGCTGCTTGTAGCACCGATGAAGTGAAGAAATTTTTATTTATGTGTATTTTGTTTATAAAATTGTGTAATCCTTATTGTTTTTATACATACCTTTGCGCGGTGTGCAAAGATTATGTCTTGTTTTACTAGTTTTGCTGTGATGGATGTTCATGGTCCATATTTTCAATGAGGCCCATGAACATTTTCTCGCTGATTATTAGTCTCTCTGCCTGTTTAGTTGTTGGGTTGTTGTTTGTTGTCCGGTTCATGTTGGATATTTGTTTTTGATTTTTTGTTTACAGATTTGTTTCCTTTTCTTGTTTGGATATGCATGGTTGCTGTCCTTCTTTTTTTTTTTTTTTTTTTTTTTTTTTTTTTGGTAGGGCTTGGGGCATGCCCCTTGTATTCTTGTGTTAGTTTTTTGTTTTTATTTTATGACTTACTTACCCAAAATTTTTTTGACTATTTTAATATTATTTTATTTCAATTTGATCAAATTCTTTGGCAAATGATTATTAATTGACTATAAAACTTTGATAACTCTTTAAGCTTTCAAAATATATAAAATACTGCTTTCATATTAAATTGGGGTGAAATTTTGTTATTATTCGTCAATCTGATGAGGTTTGTTGTCGTTCATCATAGAAGATATGTAATTTGCATGGGTTGGGTTGATTCAGTTTAGGTTGACACTAAATTTAAAATGACCTAATCATGATCAGTCTCAAATTTTTGAACTCAGGATCAAATCAATGTAGGATCAAACCAATATTATGGTTATACAAAAAACTAATTTTTTTTTACTTTTTACCAATATAATATTTCCAAAGTTAGTTTAATTATAATTTTAACTAATTTATCAAAAAGTAATATGTTAAAACTAAATTTATACAAAATTAGTAAATAAATAAGTCATATTAATTTCTGTTATTAAAAAAATATAAATAATCTCACATTTGAGCCACACTTTCATAATTAATCCACTAATAAAAGGGTCCAATACACCACAATTTTCTAATCGCATTCACCTTCCTGTAACATGCATGTGAAACTGCACTTCTCACATAAATAGGTGTAGTGAGAAAATAATTAGGTATATATAAAAGCACACCTAACTTAATTGTCTCCATTATCATGGATACTGTAAAACTTGATGGCATTCATATTATCTTTTCATATTATGCCAAATCACAATTTCGGCCTCGATTTTAAAAGCATTTAAAATTTCTCTCATATGATCATACAAATTTAAAAAAATTTCTAGTATGATTATAGAAAAATTTTGAAATTTTTCTGTGAAAATTGAAAATTTTCCGAGTCGGACAAAATTTTTCTGAGTCGAATTTTCTCTATAGAAATGTTAAAAGACCTTAACTACTATGAAAATATTATATGTCATTTATCTTATAAAATTTTAATATCAAGAATATTAAAAAAAATTCTCCCATTTTTTACCATGAATTTGTAATTATTTTATAAAACAATCAATGTGTTGTAATTTCAACAAAAATTTAAAATAATCCACTAAAAACCGAAAAAAAAAAATAATTAAAAAAAGATATTGACAAGCCATACATCACCCAAATCCAAAGAAGCAATCAGTGCAAAAAATTATTCTCTATACAATAACATTGTTAAAAAAATATTATATAAAGTACAGAAAAAATTAAATACAATTGTCATACGACTCCGTTTGGGAAGAGTTATTTTGGGATTTTTTTTGACTATTTTAGTCACAAAAGATAAAATAGACTATTTTAGCCACAAAAAACATCTAACCCATAATCATTAAGAAAATTATTTATAAGTCCTATTAGGGAGACTTATGCTACTTATGATCCTACTAAAAAATTTATGTTCCTATAAGTCCTGTGAAAAGTTTATTAACACATTTACCCTCAATATTAATTGTTAATATCATAAAATAATAGTAAAATCATATATAGGAAATTGAATATTATCATAGATCATATTTATATAAACGTAACGTAACGTGACACTTACATAAACGAAACGTGACATCTATACGTAACGTGACACCGACATAAATGTAACGTAGTATCTATGATCTATGGTAACATGCAATTTCCTATATAGGAACTTACATCTTACCATAGATCATATCTACATAAACGTAACGTAATGTGATACCTACATAAACATAACGTGACACCCATGATCTATGGCAACATTCAATTTCCTATAAACATAAATATAACATGACACCTATGATCTATGGCAACATTCAATTTCCTATAAACATAAACATAACGTGACACCTATGATCTATGGCGACATTCAATTTCCTATATTGAATAGGAAATTGAATGTTGTCATAGATCATATTTTTATGGAACGTAACGTGACACCAACATAAATCAGCAACATTTTCACATTCAATGTAAAAAAATAAAAACTCATTAAGTTTGCGAAACGTAACGTGACAAGTTACGTTACGTTACGTTACGTTTATATAGGTGTCACATTAAGTTTATATAAGTGTCACGTTAGGTTACGTTTATATAGGTGTCACGTTACGTTACGTTTATGTAAGTGTCATGTCACGTTACGTCTATGGCTTCGTTTAGCAAGGGGGTTTGAGGTTACTTTAGTCATAAAAGACAAAATAAACTATTTTAACCACAACAAACAAAATATCACATCCAACCTAAACCATTACACTTTTCTCTCACAAAAAAAAAAAACTAAAAAAGTCAAAAAGCCCTTCCCAAACCAAATTTTTTAGACTAGACTAAAATAACTAACAAAGCCAAAAATCCAACCCATTTCCCAAACGGAGGCCTTGAGGCTTTTTAAGAAATTACACAGGACTTAATTTACCATAAGTATCTGAAAAAAGACTTATAAATAAGTCTCCTTAATCATTATACTCTTCTTTCACAAAAAAATTAAAAAAGCTAAAAAGTCAAAAAGTCTTTTTTAAACCAAATTTTTTAGCACAGGCTAAAATAATCAAAAAAAAAAGTCAAAAAAATCAAAATGGGGTCCCAAATGGAGGCTAAAGGTCATGTGAACTTTTAAAGGAACCTCACCCCGTTTGGTTTTTAGTTTTGAAAAACAAATACGTTTATATAGATGTCACATTACGTTTATATAAGTGTCACGTTAGGTTACGTTTATATAGGTGTCACGTTACGTTACGTTTATGTAAGTGTCATGTCACGTTACGTCTATGGCTTCGTTTAGCAAGGGGGTTTGAGGTTACTTTAGTCATAAAAGACAAAATAAACTATTTTAACCACAACAAACAAAATATCACATCCAACCTAAACCATTACACTTTTCTCTCACAAAAAAAAAAAAGTCAAAAAGTCAAAAAGTCAAAAAGCCCTTCCCAAACCAAATTTTTTAGACTAGACTAAAATAGCTAACAAAGCCAAAAATCCAACCCATTTCCCAAACGGAGGCCTTGAGGCTTTTTAAGAAATTACACAAGACTTAATTTACCATAAGTGTCTGAAAAAAGACTTATAAATAAGTCTCCCTAATCATTATACTCTTCTTTCACAAAAAAATTAAAAAAGTTAAAAAGTTAAAAAGTCTTTTGCCTCTGTTTGGCAAGATGGTTTTCAGGCTTTTTTGGCTATTTTAGCCACAAAAAACAAAATAGGCTATTTTAGCCATAACAAACAAAACATCACATCCAACCTATAATCATTACATTCTTCTCTCACAAAAAAGTCAAAAAAGCCAAAAAGCCAAAAAGCCCTTCCCAAACCAAGCTTTTTAGCCCAGGCTAAAATAGCCAAAAAAGCCAAAAAGCCAAAAAGCCAACCTATTTCCCAAACCAAGCCTTTCTAAACCAAACTTTTTAACACAGGGTAAAATAGTCAAAAAAGTCAAAAAATCAAAAAGGAGTTCCCAAATGGAGGCTAAAGGTCATGTGAACTTTTAAAGGAACCTCACCCCGTTTGGTTTTTAGTTTTGAAAAACAAAATATTTTTTTTTGAGTTTTCAATTTATATTTTTATATTTTTAATATTTTTTTTAAAAAATTAATTATTTATACATAAAAAATAAAAAGTTATACAAAAAATTTTAAAATATTTATTAAATAAAACAAAATATGAAAATGTATAAAATTTTTATAATATATTTTTTTTGTATTTGGTAACTTTTTTAAAAAAAAAACACACAAATATTATAGTTTTTAAGCGTTTCTAAATTAGATGTATCTACAAAATAAATAAATAAAAATTGTGCGAAGTATTTTTCAAAAAATACTAAAAAACACATAATTGGGCCATTAAGAAAAAAAAAATTAAGCCATACAAAATTAGGCTAACAACTAATACATATACATATATTTTGTTTTTTTAATTGGACTAACAATTAATACTTATAAATATTTTTTAATTGGGCATTTTATCAATTGGGCCAAATGGATTTTTTGAAACACTCACTGTTGTCTCTCCTATTTGTAAAAGGCTGCATATATACATAATCACACTGGCAGAGCAGGGCAGAGCAAAGCTCGAAGCAGCCATTCCAATGGCGACCTCTCTCTTCACTCTCATCCTCTCTTTGTTCACACTACTACTTCCATACTCAACCTTCGCTGACCCACAAAAAACCTTCATAGTTCGAGTCCAACACGATGCCAAACCATCCATTTTCCCAACCCACAAGCACTGGTACGAGTCCTCTCTCCAATCCCTCTCCACCACCACCTCAAATTCCGGCGAACCCAGTCGCATACTTCACACATACGACACCGTATTCCACGGCTTCTCTGCAAAGCTCTCATCTTCAGAAGCCCAAAAGCTCGAAACTCTCTCCGGCATAGTGTCTCTCATCCCAGAACAAGTCCGGCAACTCCAAACCACAAGATCGCCGGAGTTTCTGGGCTTAAAAACCACCGACAATGCCGGGTTGTTGAAAGAGTCGGATTTCGGGTCGGATCTAGTAATCGGGGTCATCGATACTGGGATTTGGCCCGAGAGACAGAGCTTCAACGATCGAGATCTGGGTCCAGCTCCGGCGAAGTGGAAGGGTCAGTGTATCGCCGGAAAAGGCTTTCCGGCGAGTCTGTGTAATAAGAAGTTGATCGGAGCTAGGTTTTTTTGTAATGGGTATGAGGCTACAAATGGGAAGATGAATGAAACGATGGAGTTTCGATCTCCGAGAGACTCCGACGGACATGGGACCCACACGGCAAGCATCGCCGCCGGGAGATATGTTTTTCCGGCGTCTACTCTGGGCTACGCTCGCGGCGTCGCGGCTGGGATGGCTCCGAAGGCTCGGCTAGCTGCGTATAAAGTTTGTTGGAACTCCGGCTGTTATGACTCCGACATACTCGCCGCCTTCGACGCCGCCGTAGCCGACGGAGTCCATGTAGTTTCGCTCAGCGTCGGGGGAGTCGTAGTTCCTTACTACCTCGACGCCATTGCAATCGGCGCGTTTGGAGCTTCGGACGCTGGCGTATTCGTCTCGGCTTCCGCCGGCAACGGCGGTCCTGGCGGCCTCACCGTCACCAACATCGCTCCTTGGGTCACCACCGTCGGGGCCGGGACAATTGACCGGGACTTCCCCGCTGATGTTAAGCTTGGAAACGGGAAAATAATTCCAGGAGTCAGTATTTATGGCGGCCCGGGATTAGCCTCGGGCCGCCTCTACCCGCTGATCTACGCGGGAACTGAAGGCGGCGATGGTTATTCATCGTCTCTCTGCCTAGAAGGATCGTTAGATCCCAAACGAGTCAGTAAGAAAATTGTGTTGTGCGATCGAGGGATCAATTCAAGAGCAGCCAAAGGGGAAGTAGTTAAAAATGCCGGTGGAATCGGAATGATTTTAGCCAACGGGGTTTTTGACGGCGAAGGATTAGTCGCCGACTGCCATGTACTACCCGCCACCGCCGTCGGATCCTCCGCCGGCGACGAAATAAGGAGGTACATCACAGCGGCGATGAAATCCCGATCACCACCAACTGCCACGATAGTTTTCAAAGGGACTCGACTCCATGTCCAGCCAGCCCCTGTTGTAGCCTCGTTCTCCGCCCGGGGACCTAACCCGGAGTCTCCGGAGATTCTCAAGCCCGATTTAATTGCACCGGGCTTGAACATTCTCGCGGCCTGGCCGGATGGAGTCGGGCCGTCAGGAATTCCATCCGATAAGAGGCAAACAGAGTTCAATATTCTCTCCGGTACTTCCATGGCTTGTCCTCATGTTTCGGGCCTCGCGGCATTGCTAAAAGCTTCTCATCCCCAGTGGAGCCCCGCGGCTATTAGATCCGCTTTAATGACAACTGCATATACTTTGGATAATCAACGAAGAACAATGCTCGATGAATCTACTGGAAATTCATCGACAGTGATGGATTTTGGAGCAGGACATGTGCACCCACAAAAAGCAATGGACCCGGGACTAATCTACGATTTAACATCGTACGATTACGTCGATTTTCTCTGTAATTCGAACTACACAACCAAGAACATTCAAGTGATTACGAGAAAGTACTCCGATTGTAGCAAAGCTCGAAAAGCAGGACATGTGGGGAACTTGAATTATCCATCTTTAACTGCTGTGTTTCAGCAATATGGGAAGCATAAAATGTCTACACATTTTATTCGAACCGTGACGAATGTGGGGGATCCAAATTCGGCCTATAAAGTTGTCATAAAGCCGCCGACTGGTACATTGGTTACGGTGCAGCCGGAGAATCTGGTGTTCAGGAGGGCGGGACAGAAGCTGAGCTTTCTAGTGAGAGTGGAAGTAGTAGCAGTTAAGCTATCTCCAGGAAGCTCAAGCACGAAGAGTGGTTCTATTGTTTGGTCTGATGGAAAACATGTTGTCACTAGTCCTTTAGTTGTGACAATGCAACAACCTCTGTAATTCTCAATCTAGTTTTCCTTTTTCTTTTTTGGGTTTTAAGAGTTTTTAATTAGAATTATTATTATTATTTTTTATTTTTATAGTTATATATATAGTTGGTAAAGAGCTTGTTAATTAAGGTGTTTTCTATTTTAGAAAGCATGGGCGGTGATGGTTTGTTGTTGTAAGCTCAAGTGAGAGAAAATCTTTGTTGAAGAGGAATCAAGAATGTCTGTAGAAAGGTTTGTGTGCATGTTGAGAAGATATAGTAAGGAATCTTGAATAATATATATGTGTATGTTTTGCCAAGTTCGAATTTCTTATATTAAAAAAAAAATGAAAATTAATGAGTGAAGTGTGTTTTGTTGTTCCATGTTGAAGTTGTTAAATATGATTTGTTTAATTTCCATGGTGTGGGTAGGTAGGTGCATGTGAGAACTGAGAACTGCGAATCTAATAATGTTTTTTCTTATTACATATATCTCATGTTATTTTAATGGCATGACATGTATGAACCAACAGCTTTAACAACAAAGACATCGTGATAGAAGACAGCCCAATTTGCTGCACTTTTGGAGTTCACCATAGATTTTATTTATTTATTTTTAAAGTTTGTATTAAAGTGTTTAGTATAATCTTTGTTTATAGTTTGAGAAAAAATAATCTAAGCCTCTGTTTGGGGGTGAGTTGATTTTTTGGTTTTTTTAGTTTTTTTTTACTATTTTAGTTTAGGCTAAAAAAATTTGGTTTGGAAAAGGATTTTTGATTTTTTGATTTTTTTTATGAGAGAAGAGTGTAATGATTATGAATTGGATGTGATATTTTATTTTTTATGGTTAAAATAATATATTTTGTCTTTTGTAGTTAAAATAATCAAAAAAAACCTAAAATAACTCTTTCCAAACGGATCCTAAGTAAGTTGAAAAAAAAATTATGTATGTGTGTTTAGGGGTGATTATAACATACGTTTTCAAATAATTTAAGTTTAGCTTGAGAACAGTTGCGCGAGAATTTTTTTTTTTTTATTTTTTTTTTTTTTTAGAAAGAGTTGCGCGAGATTGACAATCCATTTAGACAAGAAGTATAGTTTGACAGTTTTGTGAGATATAATGAAAAACTTTGGATTTAAAGCAGGACGGATTTAGGATTATGATTTTAGGAGAGTCAAAGTATGTTTAATCTCTAATCAATAAAATTTGAAATTAAATACTAATTTCTACTAATATGAAAAAAAAATTAATAATGTTATAATAAAATATTGAACTATATATTTCTTGTCAACATAGTTGAGTACTAAAAGATGATCATACAATTGAGAATATTTTTTTGTCCATATTTACTTACAAAAAGTAGTAACTATTTCTACATACATTTATTTATTAAAATTAGGCATCTTCAATTGAGCTCGACGCTCTTTCATAATATCAAAAACATGAATGATAGAGTCTATCTACATCAAATCCTCGAGCAATGTCATTTTCTTTCAATGTACATAATCAAGTAACTAGTCAGAAAATCATCTTCCATCATATTCCTAAAAGTCATAAAATATAATAGCACAAAATAACATTTAGATTTTTATCCAAATTCTTAGAGGAAATCAACAAATCATAACCTAAAAGCCTATTCAATTATCTAGAAATCACACAACACAGTACCTACCAATTACAATAAATCATAGTATTAAAAAAAAATTCATAATAGTTAGTTAACAATTGTACCAATAACATATATTATAAGTGAGGCTTTAGGCGACTAAAAAAATATTTAGTAGCCAAAAGTGAGGCTTTTTGGCGACTAAAAAGAAGTTTAGTTGCCAAAAGTGGTAATTTTAGTCCGGGAATTAAATTTTTTAACGACTAAAAAATAATTAGTAGCCAAAAGGATAGAATTGGCGACTAAAATTATGTTTAGCCTCCAAAAGTGATCTCTTTTTTTTTCTAGTAAATAATATTTATTTTTACATAAATTATGTTCAATAAAAAATAATTATCTTTATATATATACTTTTATATTAATACGGGCCTGTGTACTATATAAATAATATATGTTGCGTATATAATCATATGGTGTTATAGAAGTGTAGTGGAAGAAGAGTGTGTTGTATAAGGTTTATGGTGTGAGAGGGTTGATGGTTCGAATCTTCACACGAGCAAATGAGAAGTCAGTGAGTGTAATATTTGTTTTTTTATCTAAATGTTATTAATCACACTTAAAAGGTGTAATCTAAATATTTTTAATTACACTTAAAATGTGTGATCTAGGAGAATGTTGTCATAGAGTGACGGCTCTCCCCCCCTTCCAACTCCTACTAAAATATTAGGTCTTCTCCTCCCGCCCCGGAAGCCTTCCCGGGCTAAATAACGACCCAGTGATAACCTGGGCTTCTAAGCCCATAGATTGAATAACCTACCGAATCAACCGGTTCATCGTGCAAGCTCGACCAGCCCTTGCTCCCAGAGATCGATGCAACAACTACTGGTTGATCTCCATGACTCGCAACTCCAAACTCTCAGGGAGCTTCGCCGTCAAAGATTCGAGGTTACACGCTCCCCAGTGTTTTCCACCACTACCTGAGGACCGACGAGCAAGAGCTAAAGGCTAGCAGTCGATAGCAATTACTTTTCCACCAATAGCTTGCTATTATCACTTACTACCTTACCAAGCCAAGTTAATATGTTGACTATCCCAACCCTACTCACATTCCGATTTCATAGTAATAGCTCATGTTATTAATCACACTTAAAAGGTGTGATTAAAAATGACCTCTTTTAATCACACTCCCAAAGATCACACTTTAATAAAACTTAAAAGGTGTATCACATAAAAAAAGTGTGATCTTTATCTGTTTTTGTAGTAGTGAAGTAAAAAGTTTGTGAAAAAAAATCTTTTAAAAATTCACTAAATACCAAAAATATAAAAAAAAAATTACGAAAATTCAGTACATTTTTTGTATTTTTATGTATTTATTAATTTTTTAAAATATTTTTTCATAAATTTTTTTACTTTTTAGATATATCTAAATAGGGTGCATCTAAAAAAGTAAAAAAAAAAATATTTAAAATTTAAAAAACATTCACTAAAAACAAAAAAACACGAAAATCAAAAAACTTAATTTTTAAAAATTTTAATCCAAAAAACTCAAATCAAACATACTAATTAGATTTCGTTTGGCTATCTCAGTTAGAACTAAAAAAAGTATAAAAGACAAAATAAAATAAGTAAGTTAATAAAATAATATATCACGTTTAAATTATAAATTTTTTTCTTATGAAAGTTAAAAAAAATAAAAAAACTTTAAGCTATGTTCGGTTTTGACGTTTTAGCTAAAAAAACATAAAAGACAAAATTAACTACATAAGTTAATAAAATAAAATATTACATCTAAATTATAATTATTATATTTTTTTCTCTCACAAAAGTCAAAAAAGTCAAAAACAAAAACTAAACAAGGCTAAAAAATAAAGCTAAAATAGTTAAAAAATCAAAAATCAAAAATCAAAATATTTTAACTCTTCCCAAACAAAAAATAATTCTTAACCGAAAAAAAGTCCTAATTTAAAAAGTCAATTAAAAAATTTTTTGCTAAAAAAACCATCACAAAGAGATTATGATCCTAATTGCAAAAGTCTATGGGTGGGACCATCCCTACTAAGATTTGTTAAATAGATAAAAAGATAAGAAATAAATCTCCTCCATTGAGAGTAAAATTTAATAATATCACATGACATTACAAGAATACTTAATAAATTTTTGAACAAAAATCATTTATGCTTTGTGTGGAAGTGATATACAGATACTAAATTTTTTCATATTTTATTTTGTTCGTAAAGTAGGTAAATCATATTATTGAAGGCGAATTCGTCTATGTTCTTACGATAGCGAAATGAGCACCTTTTTTTTTTCCCTTAAGATTTGAAAAACAAACAAGACCATTACAGACTTTTTTATTATTGAAGATAAATTTATCTCTCGCACTTATAAGAGCGAGATGAGCACCCTTTTTTTATTTTTTACCTCAGGCTTGCAAAACAAACAAGGCCGTTACAGGCTTCCCCACACCCCACCCCCACATATCTCTCCTGATTCATTGTCAATAGTCTCAGGTTGACAAGTGTTCCTGCGAAACAACAAGAAAGTGAAGGAAAAAAAGAAAAAAATAAATAAAAAGGGGAAATTACACCCCAATGAGGTTCAGGAAAAAAAATACAAATTCATTAAAATTTTTATAAATTTAATTATTAATATTTATAAAGTATTTCATTGATTTGTAATTACTTTTTGTAGTACTCACTGATGTGATATTATCCCACAAAAAAAATAAAATAAAGCGAAACAAAGCAACAGAAAAAAATGAATTAGTTCAACTTGTCTAAAGATGTTTTTGAAAAAAAATCAACCATGCCAACAATGGGCCCCTGAAAGTTTGAATTATAAGCAACAAGAGGATACGTGTAATAACTGATGAATTTGACTTCGTAATGGTAGTGACATCTCACATATAATAATAAGATTAATGTTTAAGATTCTCAAAATAAGTGATCTTATGACTCTCAATTGATATAGATAAAGCATGTACGTTTTTTTTTTTTCTCTTTTTTTGCTTCTCTCTCTCACAGGTGCATGGGGGTTGGATTTTGTGGGGATTTGTATCAGAACCCTAATACTAATTCTAACCCTTTATAATAAAATTTTAGTGAGAGTGCCTATTTGTTTGGTAAAAGGCTGCAATTTCTTATGATCAAATCATAGTAGGTAGCTTTGTGTGTGTATGTTTTTTTTTTTAAAAAAAAAAAAAATTAACTCAATAATGTAAATTAAAAAGAAAAAGAAAAAAAAAGGAGGATTATATTGGATTAATATGATTAATTTGCCTTTTGGGTAATGGTATAATAAAACCCTAAACTGCAAAATGTGGGATGTCTGTCTACAATGGGGGAGTGTAATCAGTGTTGACAGCTCAACAAAGCAAATTCACACGTTTAATGGAAAACCAACTTCGCTGGAAAAGGGTAATCAAAGTCACAAATAGCTTTACAACTATCTATAACGTTTTCTTATTTCAAATTGGGTGTGTGTGTGTTAAATCTACTTTATTATTGTCTCATCACTTTTCTTTTCTAGTTGGTTCATCATGTTTCTACTTGGTTCACTTTTGTTTTCTACTTTTTTTTTTTTATAGGACAATTTAATTCAAAATTAATTGTTTATTTCTTCGTCTGTTTGATATAACAGGAGCAAGTAAAAAATAATAATAATTGTGATTTTTTACATGAGTTAGAAAAGAAAAGAAAAGAAACACCTTCATATATAATGTCATTTCTTTCATCTCTCATATTACCTCTATAAATGATT